ATGCAAACCTGAACCAATGCCGAGGAAAACAATAAGTTCAGTAGCACTAGAAATATATTCCAACCGCATACCCCTAAGAAAAAAAAGAGGAAGATATGCAGATTGGAACAGGAATGGCATTCCCACTATAGGCAAAAAAAAAAAACAATCACGGAACAACTTGAGACTGACACCCTAACTCAAGAAGGACGAAGAAGACTAGGTAGAGAAATTTAAGCGATTCAACTAAAGCTACAAGAGTCATACAAAACCCAGGAGAGGCAAAGAGAGCAAAAAGCCAATAGTGAAATAGAGAGAAATCCAAACCATTATTCTCTTCGCAAAATCAACATAAAAATCACATCTTGTATTGGGCCGCTGCAAAAGGGAGATGGAACGTCCCTGATGACAACAAAGAAAATGACCGAACTACTGCGGAATCAGTACTGCTCTGTTTTCCGCGAGCCACTAAACACATTGAAGATTGATAATCCAAATGATTTTTCATGGATGTGATACCAACATCAAATCATATATCAGATGTCACCCTATCCACACTGGATTTTGAAGAAGCCATAAACACAATTAATCACCCACAACAATTAACAACCGTCGCCACCACCCACCAAAAAATTTCACCACTGCCATTTACCACCCTTGTCACAACCCACCTGACACAACAATCAACCACAGCCATCTACCACTCCTGTCACCACCCACCAAACACAACCATTAACTACCATAAACACCTACCACACCTGTCACCACACACACCAACAAAAAACACCACTGTGGTGTGTGGTAGCGCTGCCACACACCAGTCCACTGACGATGTCACCTCTAGTAGCAAGAATATTCCTCCATGTTCCTCCACTTCACTAATTTTCGACTCAATGCAGCTATTATCACAATCCTGAGAATATCACTGAAACTACAAATTCGGTCATTGTTTGTTCCACCAACAATGTAGAAGAGAATGCTTCAGCATTTGGGTGAAAACTTTACTTGATTTACCCGAGGGCCACTAAAACTCAAGTGGCCTCGACAAGGACAGGAAGCGAGCAGTTCTTAAAAGGTTCTCCCAGTTGCCTTGTTGATTTTTTTTGTAGCAGTTGTAGAACTGGATCTTACAGTTCGGTAGCTTTTTGGCATTTACGACTTTTGCTGGTAGGCAGTTCCATGGGATTATAACCATAAGGGTGAAAGCAGTCTCCACATTTCTTATAGCTACAACATCTGCAGCACAAGTAGATGGGGACTGCTTTTGAAATTCCTATATGAGAATTTGCTCATCTACCCAGTGAACTATTATCGCTCCCAGCAGTTACGTTATAACCATTCCCATGTGCAATTATAGACCATTGAGCTTACCAGCCGCCACTAGGCTAGATTTTTTGCCTCTTTTAGACCATCAACACGGGTTGTCAACCATTTGTTGTCCTACTGAATCCATTTTTATTTGCTAAGATAACACCAGTCCCGGAATTAGAATTTAAGCTCCACCACCACTTTTTATTTTAACTGAGAATTAGTTAGAAAACTGATGGGGACAGTGCTTGGTTTTTCTTGAATACCTTATCAACTGGTAATTTTTTGCATTCGAGAATACACAGATGTAGACATTTTTAGAAACACTTTTCATAAAAATTATTGATATATACGCAAATAATAACATAGAGCACATAAACAGCTCACATATATTATACCAATAATAAAAATCTAAATTTCTATACACTAGGATTTTCTGGGAGCCTAGAACACAGTCTATCACTTCCTGTAAATCACACTCTCATTCTGGAATAGGCTTCTCACTTTTGGGACTGCCGGACAGACAACCCACTTATTGTGTTACATCTACTACCCGTTTCTGTGTCAAAGTTTTTTTTATATATTCTTGCTTATGTTTACCTCTCTGTCACGGCATGGCCTTTACTATTCATAGTCATAAGTTTTACTGTGTCCCTAGGCTATTTCTCTGGTCATACAGTTTCACTTAAGTGTCTTTTTTTGTCTAGGGAAGTGTGATTGATGTTAGCCTTCTAGTTAAGCCAATGGAAATTGCAACAGGAGTATAGAAGCGTCTGAATAACCAACAAAAATAAATTACAAATAATCAGGTAAAATATTCAGAAGAAAACTCCCCCTGTCCCACAGAACTACAAACATCTCTATATTAGTAATCACTCACTAATATGGTTTACCTTTCTCAAAGAACACAAGCAATATGGTAAACATTAATACTCAGGTCTGACAATCATAAGTTATAGAACAACCGCACATACCACCATATTTACCAGACATGATAGATATATTAGGAAACCTGGATTTTCAATCCAGGTACTTGGTAGCACCTCAAACTATTTTAGAATCACCTGCAATTTTAATAAATACAAAAAAATTGCGTATCTGAATATCTTGTAGAATGTAACCCTCTAAATCAATGTTGTCGGTAAACGTGTCTTCTGTGTCAAATCTCGATGGCGTCCGACTGGTTTACCATGTCTCCCGCCACTTGCTTCCTGATCATTCTCTACATATTCTCACTTAACCGTTCTCCATTTGTAGGTAATGTAAATGAGTCCATTTTTCTTCCCACAAAAGATTCACAAACAATGAACACATACTCCAAAATAAGCCTCCAACTCTCGGTACTAGTTTCATTGCAAAGAGACTTATGTCGGAAAGTCCAACACCATTTACTAATATCAATTCAACAGGCAGATATTGCTGTTGCCGTTGTATACACAAGTTAACCCATAGAAAATGTAGCTTGTAGTGGAATTTTCCGTCTATAGAAAATGGAATATCATTGTCACATACTATTATAAATTCACCAACTATTATGTTGGGAATTATTCTTAAATACATTAGTCTTTGGACTTTTTTATATCATAAAAACATCTCATTTGAATAAACTTAATTATCAGTATCAAAATAGAGTAAATGTGACCCTTCTATCACTTACTGACATCTAGACAAAGTAGGCCAGTAGCGTCAGTGAGGAGGAAGAGGTCAGCCATTGTTGTTAAGACCAGAGACGCAGTGGAGCAAATTCAGCTTCTATAATTTCTCTTGGACGAAGTGTGACGGAGATCAGAGTAGTGGTCTTCCATCATCAACAAGCTGTCAACATAATCAAGGAAAGTCTCCTACCGAAACCCGTTTATCTAATCATTTCTGGCCAGTTAAATGTTAGGTAGATATTGGGCGAACCGGTTAGAATGCGAACCAGCCTCATAATAAAAGGTAATTAAGCCTTGGTCCTTATTATCTAATATAGTGTTTTCTCTGATATAGCTGTCATATATTAGGATTCCGGCTTATAGCTAGCGCCCTTTGACAGGAACAAGAAGAGGAAGCAAGACTTGATACATCAGTTACTGGGTGATGGAAGCTAGCCTCAATCGAGGATAATTTGGTGTCTACATCCTACTTATACCTGGTGGACTAAGCCTGCTGTACAATAAGATAAGGAACCTCCTCAATGTATGTCAATATATGTAGTTTAATACTGTAGTTTGATTTTAGTTAGTTTAGTTCATTTATTATGCACCCCATACCCATCTTGTGGGCGGTAGTGGAAAAGGTTACAGAGGCACATAATGGGCTCAGGGACTGAACCCCACAAGTCATTTAGCTAAGCAAGTTACAATCTTGATGAGCTAGTTACAAAATTCAATATAAGTCGTCACATCAACAATGGGTTCGAGATCGACCTCAAATACAGATTCTAAATTAAGCAACTAACATATGTGGAGAGCTAGTGTCAAAATTTATATGTTTGTCCTGCACACCGCCCCCCATCCAGTGGGCAGCGGTGGATAGGTTACAATCACTCAGTTACTACCTACAGTTAGCAAACTGGGGAAATTTGGCTAAAATTTCTGGTAGCAGATCATTTTGAATGAAATATTTACACATCGCTGGAACATTGGTTATAGAATTGTCTCTAAATTCACGTATCTTTTCGCACGCCATCACATAGTGACGGAGGGTGTGCGAATAATTTTGTTGACACAGTTTACATTTGGTCAGGTCTACATCAGCAGATAATGAGAATTCCCAGAGATACTTGTAACCGAGTCTAAGCCGAGCAGTAGTTACATCTAGAAGTCTGCTGATTTTATTGGAGGATCCATAGGTGTGTGGCTCCTCTTGCATGATAGTATGATGATAGATGGAATTACTGGTGTCAATTTCTCTTTGCCTCAGATCTACAAGATCTTGTTGAAGTTCTCGGTGTACTGCTGCTCTCAGATTGCTCATTGACAATCCAAGGTTACACTCAACGGCTCCTTTAAAGGCAGATTCTTTGGCTAACTTATCAGCTCTATCATGCATTCAGAGGCCAACATGAGATGGAGACCACATGAAATGGACTCTGTTACCATCCTTAATAATTTGCTCTCTGTAGTTTGATTGGCTGCATATATATAAATTTAATATAACCCCGCCCCCCCCCCCTAATGTGTAGGGATCGATTTGTGATATTATTGCAGAAATGCAGTCCACTTAACATCATACGAATTGCTATCGAAATATATAAATTAACGTAAATATTAATTCTAAATAAATTAAATATAAATCTCACAGGTCGGTTCCCACAACATCAGCAACACACGACTTCCCAGCCGCCAGGTGACTTCCAAGAAACAAATGTTTACTTCAATACTTTTACATAGCTTTCTATCTTTCAGTCAAATTATTACATTTCTTGTCTCCACCAAAATATCTATACAGGAGACAAGGACAGTCACACACATACCATTGCATTGATAAAACAATTCCAGACACTTCTTGAGATTTTCAAATGCAGATTGAAAACAGCCTAATGTTTCATTACAGCTCTATTCATCCCATTATTTCATCTTTATCAAAATTACCTATGCAAGCAGATAATTTGACAACAGGATTTCACATTAGTTAAACATTAAAGCAATTTTTCATATTCTCCTATGCAAATAATAGCAGCCTACTGCTAAAATAATTAGGCAAAGATTATGACTTTTTAATATTTTCAGATGATGGAAGCACGTTTCCGTAAGGTTTTGGCCATAATGACAGACAAAATCGAGTGTGCAGAGAAGGGAAGTGTCATGTGCTCATCTCGAGCCTGTGCCCACTCAGACTTTGGTCGTCGAGGTATTTTAACGAAACTTGCAGAGGTGAGAGGCAAATTATCTATAATGTTGATGATACATCCATAAACCATGTTTAGGTAGTAAGGTGCAGCAAGAGGCGCTAATGAACCCTTACTGCAGATGTTACTCACCTAGTTGTACCAGTCGCTGTTATCACCCTTGACCTCTGGGTATGGTTCCTCTGCTTTTGCAGTTGTAAAAAATATATAATATTACGACCTTGCCTACTAAAAGTGTCTAGGGTAAATAATTCAAATTTTTACTCAACAAAACAATATACTTAAAGTAAGGGTAACAAAGAACATATAAATGAAAATACAGGCAGCCAGAAATATTATTGCACGAGAATAAAATAACACAATATCATTATATAAGCACTGATCACTATTTTAAAACTTACATGAATAGATGGGTATGCAAATAATGGTCTCACCAGGCAATAGGTACCGAAGACTTATGTCAACAACATGTCCACCCCAGCCAGCTTCACCCACGCGACTGGCGTGCTCCCGCATGCAGGCATGGAGCCTACACGTTACCAACTAAAATCCACATGAAATCCCTAGATAATCTGCTATCAGAGAGTAATATTTAAAAGCATAATTATAACTAAACTAATATGCATATAATACTGCTAAGGTGTAATTAAGAAATAAAGTACACTCAATAAACAGGAATAATTACAGGGGTGAGTCAGTGATGCTAGGTTGATACACTGCACGCTTTACTGGAACATCCCAAATATGGTCATCCCCCCATGAGACGCCACGGTCTCTCCCCATAGGAATGAACATGCAATAGCATTAGCAAAATATTACATACAGGAACACTACAGCATGCTACATGTAAATCAAACATATATACTGGAAAACAAATGGATATAATGTTTAATTTAAAAAATTGAGGAAAGAAATAATGGACACACCTGTTTATCATGATAAATGTTAGAATCAAATATATTGATTCGTAACATCGCTCCTCGTCCATAAGAAAAATGACATAATTGGAGGTTGTTTACATTATTTTTTACTGCAGGTACGTACAATACTGATCTCTCATAATCAAATCATAATTATTGACCCTGAATTTCCTAATAAAAACAATACTTTCTGAACTAATATATAACCGGCATATGATAATTGAAATACAATCAGAAATACATAAGCAGCATTAATTTTCATCATTATATTTTGAAACAGTGTCTCCCCACTTTAGTGTATCTATAACTGTACACCTTTATCTCTCCAGGGCACTATCTTATTTTGTACACCCAAATACCTGAGGTAAATTCACACTATGCTCATCACAACATTTGCTCCTACTATACTCGCCGCTCTTAACAAGATTCACATATGACTTTAGTACAATACATACATCCAAATAAATGACAGTTTGGACAACAAAGGCTAATAAAGAAGGTTTCCACTTAACTGGTTTCATCTTTAAACTGGTAGTAACCCAATAACACTACAATTGCCGTGAAGGGAGGGTCGCGGGGACGCGCGCTATATAAACGCCAATATTTTTGGGTTAATTAAGGCTACAGTGACAGATCACAGATCTAAGGGTATCACAAAGTGTATAACCGCCGCGAATAGGAAAGAAAAATAAAGTGCTATCACTAGAACTGTGTGTTAAACAGTGAATTCACCAGACAGGCCACAAGGCTTTGTTTACATAGTGGGGTCAAGGGGTCTATTAGGCCCCTTGTGTTAGGTAGAGAAGAACAGCCATCATCAATCTACTGGATTAGAGAATTACCACGTGGAAGGCGACGACGGATCACCTCGTCATCCAGCCATCTTAATTATTCATCTGGTTGTGTGAACGGAAGGCTTATTCGTAGGTACCCCTCTCTGGTCAATTCTTCAGGTGTACAGAGTTAGGTAAGATATTATCAAATTCTTGTTCAGTATATCATATACATTTAAAATCTCAAAGTGGCTCATTTTGGGTAGAAGTTGACATTTTAAGGACCCTCGTAACACACGAACGCACGCACGCACGCACACGTACGTTTGCACGCACGCACACCCAAAACAAACACACACACACAAACGCACAAACACACACACACACAAATGTTCAGCCAGGCTGGAAAGGATTAATACCTATCTTGGAAAGGAGATAAGGCCCGACTCATAATCCACCCCCTCTCTTACCCACCCCCCCAATCTCACTAACCCAATACACTCCCCCCCCCCACTCCCACTCCTGTGAACAAGGGGACACAGGTGGAAACTTAGTACCCAGATGAGCCACAGAGACGTTAGAAAGAATTTTTTCAGTGTCAGAGAAGTTAATAACTGGAATGCACTAGGAAGTGATGTGGTGGAGGCTGACTCCATACACAGTTTCAAATGTAGATATGATAGAGCCCAGTAGGCTCAGGAATCTGTACACCAGTTGATTGACAGTTGAGAGGCGGGACCAAGGAGCCAAAGATCAAACCGCGCAAGCACAATTAGGTGAGTACTCCTCACACTCTTTCTCTATCTCTCTCTCCTTCTTTCCCGATCTCCCTCTCTCCCCCGCTCTCCCTCCCCTCCCCTCTCTCCATCTCCTCCCTCGCTCTCCCTACCCTTCCTCTCTCTCCCCCTCTCCTTCCTATCTCCCCCTCTCCTTCCTCTCCCCTCCCCCCTACACACACACTTGGGTTCGTGTAGACTAACAAACGCTAGGGAAAAGAAGAGGGATCAAGCAGGATGGTAAGAAACAGAACGCAAGTGGAGGAGAGGAACAGGACGAGTCATACATGGAGATGACTGTTCGCGCATGTAGGGAAATCACTGAGGAACTGAAAGACATGAGAGGACTCATAAATAAACTGCAGAATGAACTAAAGGCAACGCAAGAGGAGATAACAAACCTAAAAACAGGATCTCCTCAGACTGTGGCACAGGGGACCAACCCCCAGGTACCAGGAGATGCAGCAATGGCAGGGACCCCTACAATGTGTGCCACTTTTGCTGAAATGCTGAAGAGCCCAGGAGCAATGTCCACAGTCAAAGAAGTTGTAATGAAAGCAGTAACCTCACAGGAGGCAGATAGATGCACGAGCCAGATACTGGAAAGGAAAAGAGCTGTAGTAGTGATAGGTGTTAAGGAACAAGAGGGTTCCACAAGGGAAGAATGGAGGTCTATGGACAAAGCTGCAGTGGCAGGGATACTAAAGGAGATAGGGCTGGAAGTGGCTGAAACAGAAATATAAAAGTTTTTCCGGATTGGCCAGTACAACAAAGACAAAGACTGGTTGATCGAGGTAGTGCTCAAAAACGAGTGCATCAAAGAGGACATACTAGCAAAAAAGAGCAAACTGAAATATGTAACGAATTTCAGACAGGTATTCCTTCAGAGGGACATGACCAGGACAGAGATAATACAGGCAGCAGATGCAAGGAAAAGGCGCAGGCAGAGGGAAGGGGGCCAGGGAACCTCAACCCCCAACCCAGCAATCCCAGTGGGGAGATTATCTTGAGATTATCTTGAGATGATTTTGGGGCTTTAGTGTCCCCGCGGCCCGGTCTTCGACCAGGCCTCCACCCCCAGGAAGCAGCCCGTGACAGCTGACTAACACCCAGGTACCTATTTACTGCTAGGTAACAGGGTCATAGGGTGAAAGAAACTCTGCCCAATGTTTCTCGCCGGCGCCTGCGATCGAACCCAGGACCACAGGATCACAAGTCCCGCGTGCTGTCCGCTCGGCCGACCGGCTCCGTGTGGGGTTCCACACTCCCCACACTCTGGGGAGTGTGGAACCCCAACCCAGCACCTCAGGAATCCCAGAGGGGACTGCAACATCCCAACTCACCACCCTATAGGTGGGGAGTTCCAACATTCCACCCAATTCCACCCTACCCCCCTACCCCATTTACCTCCTTCCATCCCACCACCTGGTCTTCCTCCTGCCCCAAGCCGGCCCAGACACGAACTAAGTCCTTCATCCCCCCACCCCAGTTCTAATCCATCCTGCCCCTCCTTCCCGCCCACCCCCAACTCCCTCAGAACCCCTGGTAACTACCCTACAGGACGATGAGCCTACCCAAGCAGCAGTGCCCATGGAACAGCTTCCTGCACTAGTGGGGAGGGTGGGTGAAAATGGACATAGGAAAGTGAGCTTCAAGGTAATGTACTCAAACATCGATGGGATTACCAACAAAGCAAGTGAACTGGCAGAAAGGGCGCACGAAGAAAACCCAGATATATTAGGACTCACAGAAATAAAATTGTCAGGAGTCATAACAAATGCTGTGTTTCCAAAGGACTTTTATACAGTAAGGAAAGAGAGAGATGGGAGAGGAGGAGGACGAGTGGCTCTGCTCATAAGGAGGGACTGGAGCTTCCAAGAGATGGAAATTCCCGGCTGCGACGGATTCAGAGGTTACATAACAGGAACTATGACAATGGGTGGACCTAAGATAATAGTGGCAGTCATTTACAACCCTCTATTAAATAACAGAAGACCCAGACAAGAGTTCGACAGGAACAACATTGCTACCATTAACATAATAGAGAGAGCAGCTTCAGTTGCTTGCAGGAATGGATCCAGACTCTTAATCATAGGCGATTTCAACTATGGAAAGATAGATTGGGAGAATGGGGACCCACATGGAGGTGAAGACACTTGGAGATCTAAACTTTTGGAAGTGAGTACAAGGAACTTTCTGAGCCAGCATGTCAAGGAGCCCACAAGAATGAGAGGAAACGTCGAACCAGCTAGACTCGACCTGATTTTCACCTTTAATGACTCAGAAATAATGGAAGTCAAATATGAAGCCCCCATACGAATGAGTGACCACAGTGTATTGATATTTGAGTATCTGGTAGAAGTAGGGATAACCTATCCAAGAATGGGATTGGAAGCAAAAACACTCAATTACCGAAGAGGAAAATATGACGAGATTGGGAACTTCCTAATGGGAATACCATGGGAAACAGAACTCAGAGAAAAGACTATACAGGATATGATGGATTATGTCACTCAGAAGTGTCAGGAGGCTGCAGACAAGCTTATCCCAGTCCAA